GTCGTCATCTATTAATCAACAATAACATCAACACAGGCGACGAATAGTGTGATTTCATGTATTAGAGTAATCAACGTCAACAATTTTTATAATTATCATCGGCTATATGTCTCCGACTTTCTTTAAGTCAGTGTTTGTTGTGTGTAGACACTACATTATTTTGGCTCCTTTAATTAAAAATATAAACGGCGTCACTACTCACGGCACAACAAAGGCTTTCTTTTCATCTTTATAACTATGTGTACATTTCAATAGAAGTTGAATCTAATCTGCCAATCAACGAACATTGTGCGCAACGACGTCATTTGAAAACGTTCCAATGATATTCAATCGGCCAATAGAATATTTATAAAGATGGAGATAAAAAGAATGTCTTTGTTTTGCTTTGAGTATCCAATTGTCAAACTACAGGAATGCTGGGGATGATTCGCTTGCGATACATCAATATGTACTATTATTAAAATTCACAATTCTCTAAAAATAAAATCTCTTATATTTGCTTTAATATAACACCATGGATTGGGTATTGTGCGAGTAAGTAAATTCAATACTTGTTTCCGGCGATTCAAAAAAGTCAAACAATCTCACAATTTTAAAATGAAAATAGCGACATCTCACAAAACATAATTCTTCATTCTATTATTTTATTGTGAACGGAAGTGGCCTCTACATTAATATTAATACATCACGTGATGTGTTATGAGTAAGCAGACAGATCAATCAATCATTCAAGAAAAGTACATCACTTGTAAAGTATAATATGCAAATTAGGCATGGACCATTTCAATTTATTAGATGCCGGTAAACATCGTGTTTCCATTAAAGGACATCATAGTTACTAGTACCCTACAACAATCCAAGTTGCCGTTAGGATAAAATGGACGCACAGTGAAACGGTGTAGTCCATGGTCCAAAAATTACTCACCCGGATATTATTAAGGGTATATTCATGTTTTGAAGATGACCGCAATTAAAATTCAGCAATTAAAACTTTAATGATCTAACCGACAAAATATGTCTTGAACATTCTGTAGAGAAGATGGAGGATTTTAAAAATCGCAGCTCATAGTTTAATTGTTTATAGCGTAGCAAACAATTGACATTTACATTGATCTTTGACCTTTAAGTTTTATCATTGTGATGTAATGAGGCATTTCCAAAGACACCAAAACATGACAGACTCACAAGTGTTGCAAACGTTATTCGCAATAATTGTATTCCGAATTTCAGCTATCTGTTATGACATGCAACAATCTATTTAATACCCTAAAAAATGATATCAGAATTTCAAACCACATACTACCTTCTGGAAGGTCCATTCAGTCAAAACTAAGATGTGATATCAATTGACAATTTTCGAGTTATAGCGCTACCAGTCGGTTTCAGTGCGAGAATAAGAGGGTTGATTACGAGCTCTCACAATGTATTCGATGGTTTCCTTGGTACCCAGCGTTCTGATGAGCTATCGAACGTTTGCCCTCCCGGTCTCTCAACCAAGCAACCGACAGCAGAAGTCAGTCGGGGTTAGGAGAATGTAACCCAATTTTAAAAACTTTTTTTAAAATCTAGGTCTTAGCGCGACTGGTCTATTCTGAAGCGTATTCATTGCTATTAATTATTCATAATATGCAGTGACGCTGTGAAACCCGGGATATTTTGCGTCAACGCGTGAGATTCTACAAACTCGATCGAAGGAATTATCATATAAAACTATAAAATTATCACGACTGGGCCAGACTAGCAACCACCCTACACGAACGAAATTGGAATGTTTTTACACCAGTGCGCGCAAGTTTGAGCCCTGTCACAAGATTTAGCTCCCAGTCACAAGATTCAGCTCCCAGTCACAAGATTCAGCTCCCAGTCACAAACTAGTTTACCCATATACCAATGTTACAATGAAAAACACGTGTCATTTTCTCTTTCATTCGTCAGTCTGAAAAAAATAGTTTTCATATTATTTATGTTTTTCATAATATATTTTATTGAATTTATATTTTTGATTTCTTTGATATTGTAATATTACACTCCACATACCAACGTCTCTTTACATGAATGTTTATACTATGGGAAACATCAGGTGTTTCTCAATTTACTTTGAATAAACATTTGTCTGATGGGAAATAAAGTTATTACCATATCCTCAGTTTTGTGTTGATGTTGCATGT